GCACCCGCCCGGGCTTTCACAAGAACTGGAAAAGCGAGCCGGGCCTGCGCCGGGGGTTTCGTGGGATCTGCCACCCCACCCCCGGCGTGGGCCGTTACCACCCTCTTAAAGGAGCCCTGGAAGAAGGGAATGGCCCCATCCCAGGGCGTTTACATAAAACTGGGGGCTCGGTCATCATACACGAAAACAGCTGTGGGGAACTCCGAAGTGTAGGGAGATGGGGGAAGAATGACTACAAACCCAAAACCTTTTCCCAAGTCTGTGTTTTCCAATCCATGGGTTATACTAGTAATTTCTAGGGGACCGTGAAATCAGTTTGGTAGATCGAGACCACTACGTTTTTGTTTTAATGAAATGGGAAGAATCGAACACGATATAAAATCTTGGAATGCATCCCAGGTAAAAAGAGTTTTTTGAAATTTTTATCCCAGTCTTTTGTATCTATGTGTCCCAAGTAGTAATGTAAGATGCCTTTCTTTATGTGGGTCTGATCAAACAAAAAGTTTGAGAAACGCTGTTCTTTGCAAAGAAGCTTTCAGAAATAACAATCGTGCATTGTGTTAAGCTGGCCTTACTCCCAGGACCTGAGGAGCATTCCAGATTACAGCATTCTTCTCCTGCCTGGCCCTAGTGATGCAGAAATGGTGATTCCTAGCGTTTAGACTGGCATGTGTACAGTAACTTAGTGAGCTCCCCTCTTCGGTTGAGAAAACTGGAGAAAAGCAAGTGTGTCATTCAGAAAATGAGTACATAAAACCTTGCATAATGTGCACGCATATTAAAGTAGCCTGTGTGTTGAAGTAGCCCTCATTACAATAGCCCACAAAACGTTGGTTTCAGTACAAGTGGGTAGTTGCCTAAACAGTTGACAAGAATCACAAGGACCAGATATACTAATGGTGTATCTGTGTGTGTATAGGGGTGTTCAACAGTCTAAATTTCAATGCACTAGAGTTTCTACTAAATTCTTCATTTGCCATGTATACATTTCATTACCTCATTTAACAATTGTAATTAGGTAAACCTGGCACAGTGGATACAGGATGAACAGATTATAATCCCTATTTTGCAGAGGTGATGGAGGTAAAACC